AAATCTGCTGATTTACACAGAAATAGGACCGAAGTCGAGCGCTTTTCGTAGCCATAAAAACAAATTAAGCCAAAATGTTAAATAAACAAGTTTCGGCGAACGCGTTGACAGGCGTAAGCCAGCGGCTGTCTTGGCCTGGCCAAAATAGAGACAAAAGTTATCTTATTAATTCCTCGCCACATCACACACACACTCCCCAGTGGGTTTTTCCCCTCTGAGATTTTCCCCCGACTTTTCCCTGTCATCACGCCCCACTAAACTCGCCGTTAATACGCACAATCAAATGTGATAAATATAACGGAATATTGTAGCATAATTTTGGGGCAAACTAATCCGACAGAAATAACACTTGAGCAAATATTAGATCAGCCTTAGCTCACAATTTTAGCAAGCTCCCTCTCTTTCACTCACTCATTCACTATCCCCTTCTTTTCTGGACATACATTTCATTTTTCCATTTGCGTGCACTGGAAAAATCATTTGGAAAATATTATTAATATTAAGAAGTACAATACATACATATTTAATTTTAAATAGATTGCCAATGGTCGCGAAAATTTTATTTGGTGTTTGAAAAACCGAATAACAATTTTCTAATGAATTATTGTTTATTTATTTTAAGGAAGTAATTTTCCATCACTTGTAAACATATAATGCACCATATTTCATGTCCATAAATGTTAGTTTTCTCAGTGCGCCTATTAGCCAGTGTTTGTTGTGGCCATTTCTGTTTTGGCCAAAAAAAAAAGAAAAGAGGAAGAAAAGTTGGCAGGGGAGTCATCTATGTATGAGTAATCGCTTTCATGCTTGATGACCAAAATGATTAATGGATTTTGGGAAATCGAGCCAAGTCCAAGATTAAACGCAACAGTTTCCAGCATTGATCATTTGTTATGGCTTCGCACAAAAACATCTACCCATTCGAAGGGTTTTCGAAACGGAATTAAGGTCTTAAGGCCTTAAATGGTGCTGGTAATAATTCCCGATGGGAATTCGCAATCTATTTGTCCTGTTCTTAATAGTATTAAATTACTTTCTTTAAAACTACCCATGATGAAATGGTTGTAATTAATTATTTATACAAGCTTTTTAATACAGATTCCTTAAATATCAACAAATTATTACAAATAAATTCTTCAGTTGAATGATAAGAACTTATGTATGGCGTTAATATGTTAGCTTAAAGGCAAGACCATTCAATATATTACCTTACACAAATAAGGCTAACAATTTGGTATCTCAATGCTCTCAGCCATTAACCTTAATTCAACACAGAGATGAAATGTGCAAACATATAATTATTTCCTAAAGTACAAGTCACACAGAAACAAGTTAGTCGCTTTAAGTTTAAACTGAAATTACTTATGCATCCCAGGATGGGCCTGAAATCAATTTGCTGAATTCATAATTATCAACTAGAGAGGCAGGTATTGTTGCATTTGGATAATTTGTACTTGCAGAAGGCAGGCAAGTGCAACTCCTTCTGCAAGTGGAGGGAGCAACCGACCATAAACAAGTCAAGTGAGGAATGCGAAAAAGGACTCTGTCTTTGCCCTTTTGAATTCTGCAGCCTTTGCTGCTGTTTTCCTGGACAAATTTTTTCCCAGTCTCAGTTCATAGCAATGCCGTTCTGATTCTGATTTTGGTGCTCTTGTTTGGGCCACTGGCTTTGTCATTGTTTTGGCTTGGCATTTGCTTCGCCGTTGCTATCTCTGGCCACAAGGATTAATGGGGTCAATTTGGCAGTGACACGCACCACCCGCCGCCACCCACTTCAGCATGGCCATCACAGCTGCAAATGCAACTGGCTCATAAAATGTATACTGAAAAAAATACTATGCTTTAAATTATATTTATGCTTTGATTTATATTTTTCTGGACAATTTAAGTTTTAAGTCTATCTTAATCGATTTTTGTAAGTTATTCATATCGTAAGGCAACCAACTGATTTAATCTTTTTTCCATCTCAAACTAACCCATATTTTTGTGGCCTTTTTGGCTAAGTGTGTAAACGGGATGCGGCTCATTTCTCGCCAGCGCCGAATGCACTTGGCATCGGGAGCAAAACCCAAGCCAACAAAGACAAAGATTCCATTTCAATTTACTTTTTTAAATTGCAAACTTTTGCGACAAGTTAAAGCCGCCACACAAACATACATATGTACATACAACCACACATACGTTTTTGGGAAAAGGGAAAAGCAAACATTTCCCAGACCAATACACACGCACATCGCCAATAACACGCAACAAGAGAAATGCGAAAAGAAAGTTGAAAAACGAACCCAACTGAGGACGACAAATTCAACATGTCAGGCATTAGAGAAGGATAGATACAAATAAAATGAGTAGAAAGAGACGGGTAGAGGGAGGGGGGAGGGAAAGAGAGATGGAGGGCTGTCACGAAGATGAAACTATTATCCACGGAAATTAGCGGGTTCCAATGACAAAAACACATGAAATGCAAAAACTTTCCGCCCTTCGCTTCAAGCTCAATTTCCAAATTGTTGTCGACATTGTTGTTCTTGTTCTTATTTTGTTGCCTCTGCCGCCTTGTTGTTTTCCCACAAGAGGTTTGGTTTTCCCATAGAGCTCACTAATGTACGTTTAAGTTCGAGTACATACCAAAAGCAAGCCATCGGAAACTATAAGAATACAACAGACCTTTAAGAAATCGGAGCTGCATTTATAATAGAGGTTATCGAACATAATATTGGTACGCTATAGTAGTAGCGAAAAATACTCAAACATAAACGGCCTCGAAATGTTACTAGTAGTACCAGTTAAACATACTGAATTCCTAAATAAATAAAGAAAGCCCATCTAACTCCTGTCACATATTTAACAACGAATAACTACTGCCGCACTAAATCGTTTTCCACTTGCCAAGACAACCTCTTTAAGCCTCTTTTTATATTTATAAGTATTTGTATCTCGTCTGAGTTATTTTGTATCTTTATTTGTGAGTACATCTTGAACGACATGAGAATTGCCCGGAAGGCTGTTTCCTTTTGATTTTGAGGCCATAAAATGGCCGAAAGGGAGAAACAAAAACCGGAGCCACATAAAATATGCGTAAAATATATACGGAAAAATAGTTGGGTCATCTAATGGCTGAACCAAGTCCAAGACCAAGATAATTGCGCTATCCCGAATTTGTCCTCTGTGCTTTGCATTTTCTATTTGGAAATCCTCACAACCAGAAGATACACTCAAAATTTTTACGACCCTAAATGGCATTAAATATCCAAACGTACTTGACGCGACTTTCTTGGCTACGTGAATTTCTCAGCTCAGCGCTATTTTTCCCCCCGCAATTCCCATTTTTTTTCGCTTTTCTTATGGATACATCTGGGTTAGTTTCCCTAGCTGCAAGTGAAAGAAAATCGGGAGGGGAGAGAGAGACCTGAAGGATGGGACTCCTTTTATAGCCGGCCATCAAAAAATGTTAAAAGCCCCGATTTCCATGCCCATTGTCTGAGTTCGTAATTGCTTTGGCTTTGGTCCACTGAGTGTCGGCTTAGTGGGAGTGCCAGTAAATGTGAGTGAGTGTGCCCCACGTCACAGATCTACGGTTCTTCAATGCACAAAATAAATTTAACCAATAGGGTAACTGTTCACATGGAATGGAGAATACTTTTTGTCAGAAAAGAGCCTGTATAGTACAAAACTGGCTTATAATGATATAACTTATTAAATAATGTTCCTTAAGCTGAATTATTATTGCCCCCTACCTGCTATTGACGTTACTCCTCCTATTATTGGTCCAATGAACAATGCCAGCACCTTAAGAACCCCCTATTTAATTAAACTACACATGTGTGAACAAGATAATTAACTGCAATTACGCTTATGTAAGTATAGTACACGAATTCTATACTGGTTTAGCTATCAACTCAAGACAGATTTATGGTCTTTGTTAAAATGTTTTGCAGGAACAATGATACAATAGAAAATTGGCAATTCAATTAAACAGCGTATTAATAAATTGCTAATTATCAATGCCAGCAGCTTAAGAACCCTGTATTAAATTTAACTACACATGTGTGAACAAGATAAGAAGAAGAGTAACTACAGACTGTTTAAACTTTGTGTAAACCATCAACTCAAGCCAGATGTATGGTATTTGGTAAAATGCTTTGTAGGGACCATGACACAATTGAAAAATAGCTGAAAATTAGTAGAAAATTTTGTTTGCGTCGTTTGCGTCGTATTTTATTCTTAGTTTTTCTTCTCTTAGTACTTTGTTTTTTTGACACTTTTTGCTGGCATATTGGTTGTAGTTAACATAACAAGATTTATGTTAAGACCTTAACACACGGGCTGTTGGAACCCATGTTAGGAACAATAACATTTTGGAGACTTATTAGCAGACAGCTTACAGACATGTAGCTTAACAGACTAGTGCGAGAAGTTTTCAAAAAATGTAGGAAAGGAAAGCTCCATAAAAGCTGTGTTCTATAACTCATTTGAAATAAAGAAACAAAATATTCTTTTTTAAATATATTAAATTTAAAAATGGGACAGATAAATAAAAAATAGTGTTTCTTAGCCTTTTAACTGCCCTGTAACCTGTCCCGCCTAACTGACCCAGAAAGGCGAAAACCATCTAAGAGAACTCCGGCTACAAAGCTACAAAAGAGCATAAGCGACTCTCCTCACAGTACGAATTCGGCCAGAGCTCTTGATTCCATCACGAAGTGCTTAACTTCGTCCTTGATTTCGACAGCATCAGTAGCATCAGAATGCTGCCCTGCGACAATATGTTGGGTTTACTATATGGCTATATGGCTGGTTGACTGGCTGGGCCCATGGCTTCTTCTTCGGCGAAAGCCAAAGGAACAGGGCGAAAGGACCTGCTCATGACATCAGCGATGGTGCGATGCTCTCCTCCTTTTTCGTCCTTCTGCCGCAGCGCTGCTCCGCTGCTCTGCCGCTGCTGACTGACTTTGAATCGTGGGCCGCAGCATCGGTGCTTCAGTCTCGAAAAGCCTGCTGTGCGTGCAGGGGTTTTCAGCGCGCGACACACGCGGCGTATACGTAACGCGGCCAAAGCCAGACGCCAAAAAAGACGAAAAACTGAGCAAACGAAATGGTAGCCTAAAAAGTATACTCGTACATACATATATATGAGTGCCCGGTCGCTGTGAGAGTGTTTCGGCCTGTTTCCATTTTATCGTTTGCCGGCTACCGGTTTACCGTATGCAATGAACCGTGCTAAAGGCATTGAACTGTGCCGGCCACGCTGTTGTTGTTGTGTTCACTGAAAAAAAAAATGGCTCAGCAACTCAGGCTCAATATTTCAGATTTAATGTGGCTTCGATTATGTCCTGCGCTTAAAGGGATTTTACCAAATAGCATTAGATGATTTAAGATCCTATTTTACCTAAAAAAATACCTATTAATTCAATTGCACTATATAAAGAAACCAATAATTGTCATATTACTTTATTTATTTTATTAATAATCTTTTAACCTCTCCCTGTTTATTCGTTGGTACCACAATTAATACTAGACAGATTGGATTCCTGGAATCGATTTCGGTGTGAATCAGAAAGTCTTTTTAAGTGTTAAGACGAAAAGGCTTAACCCTTCCCAGTCTATTTTGGCCACCTCGAATGCTTATGACAGTTTGGCCGACCCTTACACATAATATTTTTTTTTGGTGGCCGTGTTCACTTGTCTTCTGGAGTGTCGGCAAATTAATTAACATGACAATGACGAAGGTGAATTGCGTGTTTTCCAAATGCTCCAATCAGCCCTCAACAAAACATTACCACGTTTTAAATGCTCCAGCTTTTTTTCATCGTAATGTCAATGCCTGACAAGTCTTTCGTATTTTTCGAGCCGTTTACAAGTTTTTAATTAGACCCTTTGACAAATTACCGCTAGGAACACGGCACAATGGCCGGTAATTAAATGTTTATTGTCGGGGATTTTTTGGCTACCGAAGAGCGTGATTGGAGCTATGCGATGGGCGGTGTTTAATTGTCGGTTTAAAATGGAGCACCAGGTAACCACTCCAAGCGGATTTAATTTAGCAGCATAAGGGGCTGAATAACATTGCGGAAGTATATGTATTTATGGGATTTTCTATAATTTTAAACGACTAAAATCATTTTAATAATTATAAACACTGTAATATTTTTGAAAATCTTTATTTTACTAACACTAATTTGTGGGGCTTTAAAATATTTATATAAATCCTATTGTATCTTACCCATTAATACATTTAAAAAATATATTATTTCTTTTTAAACATTTAGTCGTATTCACCTTAGCGTTTTCTTTTTATTGGAGCTTAAGCGCCACGGTTGCTTTACAAATGAGCACAATTTTCTATTTTATTTATGGAATAGCGAAATCAATATCGCATTAAATTTTCATTTTATGGTTCGTTCCGCTTTGCACTGCCGCAGGACTCGCTTTAAACTTGCGTCCTGGCAACGTGTGGAAGTGGCTCGTCATGCTCTGCCCACGATTTCTCGAACAATTCGAGTTTTCCCCGCACTCCGCCGATGCTTTCATATTTGTCTAGTATTAGGGGTGAGGACTTTCAACTGCTGCTCTTGCCGTTACTGCTGCTGATTCTCCTGGTTCAAGTATAGCCACTTAAACCCTTTTGACAATGTCAGCCATCAGGCTCAGATGATGATGATGACGATGATGATGGCGATGACGATGACAAAGTGGATGATGATGATGTGGCTCAATTCAAAACAGCCGTCGCCGAAAAGGGAGGAAAAAATACAAGCAGTTTCCATGCAAGGAAAGAACATTAAAAAAGGAAAAAAAATGACAGGTCCAAATATAAATTCTCAAAATAAAAGACACAAGCAACGGATGATATGTGGATGGTTTCCACTCACTTTAGCTTTAGTCGAGCCTCGTTGCCTTGGCTTTGAACAGATTTTCAAGCATTCGGCTAATTTATTTTGCCAGCCCCAAAACTTATTAACTCATACATTTTTAAAGCAAACAATGTCCGCGTTTTCAAGTGAAATGCACACAAACAATTCCTCAAAATTCAAGTGGGAGAAGCTTAGAAAGCCGTGCTGGGGGGCACAGTGTTTGGCAATAATAATTTATAAATGAACGAATAAAGGGCGCACAGCAGCGGCAGCCAAAGGCAAATAAAAATAAATAAATAAAAATGGCAATGCGGCATAAAATGTGCCGAGAAGCCGAGTTGAGCCACCATTTCATGCCGTTTTATTTTTTTTTTTTTGCTTGCTGCCGTTGGTTTGAGCCGAGAAGGCCGGAAATGTAACTGCGACGCGTTTATTTTATTGCGTATACGCGGCGCAGCAAAGTAGGCAACAATTTTTGCGGAGTGGGTTTTCGCATGCTTTGTATTTGCTCATGTGTGGGTTTGAGTATTACTGGTGTGCGCGAGTGTGAGTGTGTGTTATATGGTCGCCGCAGCAGCGGCTTAACTTATTTTCCACAAAATTAAACCATCAAAAATTTGCCAACAACAATGATGGGGTAATTTATTTGACTCATGTGCTGCTGTTAGCTCGCCTGTTGTTTGGGCATAGAAAGCCGCAGCAACAGTAACAGCAGAACGTAAAAAGGCTCACACACACTTACGTGCACTTGGAGAAAGGTTTTATTAATATTTTTTTTATTTGTATTGAATCAGCCAATAGTTTGCCTTGCAAGAAATACTTTTATATTGAAAATGATATTTTTTTGGGCTAAAACAGCTAAAATAAATAGTACGCTTCCCAATAAACATGCTTAGAGTTCAACTGAAATTTAAAAGAGTTGCAACAGCAAATAATTTATATTAAAGTGTATAAAAACCATCCACACAGATTCCCAGCCAAGCCCTTGGCGTTAGTTGTGGCTATGGTTATGTTGGTGACGCTGCCGCAGCCGCAATGGCTAACACGTACACATACCAGCTTACAGCATACTCACACATTACTACATACACACACACACTCACACATATGCAAGATACTCGGACCAACTCATTCACTTCGTCTTGTTCTTTGTTGGCAGGCGCACTTTTTTGTTGTCGAAATTAAATAAACAGAGCAGGCTTCGCAGGCAGCTAAACTGCCACATTGCCGAGGCCCCTTCCACACTCCCCCTTCTATGCCCCCTGCCACCCCCTGTGATGATGAATTGATGATAATGCCGCCGGGGATTTAGGCAAAATAATGCACAAGACTCGTCGCTGTTTTTCGGGCAACAACGTTTCCTATATCTGTACATACATACATTTTTTTTGGCTCTACGAACTTGGCTTTGAAAAGAGTTAAGCGTTTATTTATTTACATACATTTTGGTGGTTTTTTTTTGGCCCATGCTGCCCGGCGGGCTCAGTTTATTAAGTCTCAAGTGGTGTGCCTCCTACACCGACTGTTTCAGAAACTCTTCTCACTCCAAAATAGAGTTTCAGTGTACTGAAGAAAAAAAGTGTATGTCAGCAGAAGGCTTTAATTTACTTCATACATTTTATAAGTGCTATTATGGCAATAATTGCAATTCCAAGAAGACTTAAAATCTTTAACATTTTGTAGTGTTTTGATTTTTTTCTTATAAATACAATATATAGATTATTTTTCTTCATTTGCGTAAGAAAAAGAATATATTAGCTCTTTCTTTTAAAATTTTTTTTTCGATAGCAAGTTTATTATCTTGTCGTAATTGTAACATACACTTTCAAGATTAAATGCAGCATTTTTTTTCAATGTCATAGACTCTGTCCAAGTTGGTTTTGTTGCCATTGCCGTTGGCTTAAACACAGCCAATTTCATGCAAAGTTGGATGCGCCCTTTTCTCATCCTCGGGTGACCTGTTCCACGTCCTTGATGGATGGCTTTTGACGCCAGGCAGCGCTTGGCGGCCAATTTGATTTGGCCTGTATGGGGAGCAGAAGAGCCCGATCCTGAGGGCCCTTCGGCAGGACCTGCAGCTCACAACTGTCGATTTGTCAGACATTTGGCTTGGGACTCCAAAGTGACTGGAGAAAAAACGAATGAGCCAAGTAGCCGGCAGTGTATTACAGATTGAGTTTTGAATTGTTGGCATTCCTGTGTGCTGAAGCCAAACAATGGCACAAGATGGATGTGCTGGAAAACCGAAAAAACGGCCGCGATAACATAGCATTTGCATTCATTTAAAGCATAACGAAAGTCTGTGAAGGGTTATATTTTATATAAACTTGCATTAATATTAAAAATTACATTTATGGAGTAAGCTTAAATTGATAAATTGATTTTATAGTTTGATTTCACACCCTTTAAGCTATATAAAAGCATAGCCAAAAAGCGAATAAAACATGTTCCAGATTCACAATTCCACTTGCATTCGCTCACTTTTGTGGCACGGACGCAATCCGCATGACGTATACGCCACATGGGTCACGGGTGTCACGGTAGCTCTGAGCTAGTGACTCTGAGCTGCTTGGTGGGATCTGGCATCTGGAATGGCAGCCCTCGCCTTTCCCACCAAACTGCTCTGCATGTCTAGTCTCGCCTGTAAGCCAAAGCTAAAACAGGCCAAAGCCAACGTCTGAAAGTCGTGCGACGAGACAGACGCCAAATTCCGACAACGCAACAGTGCACACAGAAAACAAAATTCTAGGGCAAAATTAAACTTCAAATTAAACTGACATTTTGCTTGTTACAAACAACTAGGAAGATATTTTGAACAGTTTAAATGGAAAAGGATACAAAAAGATACAAACGTTTTAAAATTTAACATTGAATACTTGAAAATAAATTTTTTATATTTTAAATTTAGAATGTCTTCTTTGAAACTTCAAAAATGTTTAAAGTGACAATGATAATCTTGTTTAATTTATTATTTGCCAGAAATTGAATAAAACATGACTTTTCCGCAATATATATATTTTTTCCTGTGCTGCCATAAAGCCATAAAGCTACAACAACAACAACGACAGCAGCAGAAACGTGTAGCCCAAGAACAATAAATCTTTAACGTGGATTTCATGCATGTAAGCCAGGCAAAGACTCTCTGTTACGATATGATGCATGAGCCGAGGGCCAGCAGGTTTAATATGTAAACTCCTTAAAAGCGCTGAGTTTTCAGCATCAAAAGTGCAGTGGCGTTAATTTGCCAAATAAAATGCAACCAGCTACGAAGAGCAACTAGCGCAGCCATAAATATCATCAGCAACTGAGCAATAAAACGCGGTCTTCCCCCTTTAAGAAAGACAAAAGGAAAACCGAGGGGGGTTAAATCAACAGGGAAAGCTCAGCAGGAGCTGAGCATTTAGAGTCAGCCATCGGGCGCACTCCTTCCTGTGACTTAGATCCTAACTCCACCCAACTCCCCTTCTGCCAACCGACTTCCGGCCGCCGCCTCCTTGAGCCGAGCACTTCCGCTTCTTATCGCGGCAATGTAAACGCGTTTCCGTTTAGGACTCAATCCCAGCCTCATTTCGCGGCACCGGGAGCGGCATTAAACTAGCAGCTCGGCGCTGGATTACAAGTAAATTGGAAAGGATTTGAAGATGAGCCTGCTGCGCCTGCTTGGTGCCCTGCTGCTGGCCACATTCAATGGTAAGTGAGGCACTGCGATTGAAAAAGGATATTTATTTAAAAGAAATATATTCTTTGAAGTAGTACTAGTTTGTATTTCAATTTAACAAATTGTATATGACTTTTTAAGTATTTTCAACTAGGTTAATGGTAACTTTCTCGACTCTCAAAAAGATACAAGTTGAAAATGAAAGTATAAGAAACTTGTTTACCCTTTATTCAGATCCCATTCTTTTTTCCTATGTATATATTTTGCTTTTGTAGTTAAGATTTTTTTTCAGAGTGCAGTAAGAGAAGCTCTGTTCAAAATTTATGAACATGATTAACGGTAAACCCTCCCATCGACCCAAAAGTGTCATAAACGCTTGGCTTTTCCCCGCTCGCTGCCATTTATTTGCGCTCTCAATTTATTTGCACAACTATTTACGAGCGCCGGCATTGGCAATCATAATAACAATAGTGCCAGCAACGTGGCAGCAACGATTCAATAAATGTTGCAATTTGCATCGACAACTACAATAAATTTATCTTAAATGAACAAACATTTTTCTTGCAGCTTTGCCGCTTGACTGGCAAATAAAATGCGATATGCCAACGGCTTATCGTTGCCACAAAAGTCTGTTCCTGGCAAAAACAACAATAAGTAATAACCAAAGCTGCACACAAATTACACCATGGAAAAACTCTCGACAGCACTCACAATGCTTTCCAATTTGTTAAAACATTCACTCACATTCGCCCACTCCGAATGGCCGAGTGCATAAATATCTTATGGTAACATTTTTAAAATAAAAAGGCAAATTTTCAACATGAAAATTGTGGAATTCCGTCAAGCATATTTGTCAAAATAATAAACGCATGTATATGCGTTGAGGATTTTCTTGTTCGACTGTGAAGTTTTATTGAAGAGAAATGAAAAAGACTCGGATAGCAACAGCAAAAACAATTCTAATAAAAATCAGATCGAGTTGCTGGATAATCTCTGAGCTGAGCACTCTTGAATCATATTCCATGGACCTTTTTATTTAAGTCTATTTTACGTATTGAGAACGGAAACAACGAAAACTACTAATTTTATAAAAATATAAACTAAATAAAGGAACTATCAACTGGATCTGTAAACATTTAATTCAATTTTAATTATTTTTTCGTCTTAATAATTTAAACGAAGCCCGAAATTTTTGATGGTTACACAGATAAAATTAAAGACAACCCATATTAAATCATTTGCTTGCTGAATATGCGATTTTGATTTCTCTTGGTGCGCGAGCGGGTTCCATAAAAATATGTCAAATGCAAATTATGCATATAAATAAGAGTAAATATATGAATCAACAAATAAATATGTCGCATAAAGAGATATAGTATGTGTGTGTGGCGCACCCGCATCTTTGTGTAAAAGTCAATTTGCTGTCGCCGCCCAAAAGTCGCGAGTGCCATAAACATGGCGAAATGTGCGTGCGACCGCAACGCCGCAGAAAACGCCATCTGTGAATAAATAAAAATCGAGCGCGAGAGCGGAAAATGCAAAATAATTGCATATTTATGTTCGCCCGGCCACTGAGCCAAAGGAGCTGGAATCTGAAAAGGCCGAAAGAGCTGCGAGCTGTTAGCTGTGAGCTGTGAGTTGTGAGCTCTGAGCTGCAGCCATAAATCCCGAGCGGCTTGCCTGCTTTTAATACTCTGAATCCCAGAACGAAATGCGCAAATGTCTGACTGCTCGTAATGTTCGCCATATTCGCCAGGCAGACAGACGTCAAAATGCCCGAGTGCGGCGTAAATTTATTTCAATTAAATAAATCTGCAACTCCCGATTTTCCACAGATGAAATAATAAGGAACTCTGCGGGTGGAGAGACTTGTAAAAAATACTGCTGGAAATTTAGAAGACATAATTTGCATTCTTCGCATCGTTTCCTTAACATTGAAATAAATAAAATACGTATTTGTATATTCACTATAATTGCATTTCATTTAAGAATTTGATGCTTATGCTTTAATGATTGCATATTCCTATCTCGTCAACACTTAATTGTAATTAAAAAGTGAGTACAAAGACTTAAACGCGTTGAAAGGATTGCCGCAATTAGTAGAAAATGACCGAGGGTGGATTGCGCAATATTACCCCCCGCTGGCATCCCTCAGATGAGCACACAAAGCCAATGAAATTAACTAAAAATCAGTCAAGAGCATGAATGGCAGCGTTTTATCTGGTCGCTTGTCTTTCGGCCATTATCTTTGCGTTTTGTGCGGCGGAAGAGGAAGCGCGTTTGATAATAATAATAATAACAAGAGCGCCAACACTTGGCCATTGTTTTAGTGGAAGCCAAGCGAAAAAGCAGCAGCAGCAACAACAACAACACCAACAAGATGACACTTTAATAGCACAAATGCGGAACTAAACAAAAACCGAAATCAACGAAAACTGGGTGTGGAAAGCGACTCCCGCCAGCTGTCATAATGAAACTGTCAAGGACAATAGGGGGCCAACGGAAATACAAAGTGTACGTGTTCCCCTCTGGAAAACTCCTCATCCCCCCCTCACCTCCTAGATTTTCCACCTCCCTTTCCCCGCTTCGCATCCGCCACTTTCCGGTTTTGCGATAAAAGCGACAAACAAAAATTCTGTCTGACGGGCAGAGGCCATTTATAAGAGCATCAGTTACAATAACACTGCAGGGCGGTTGGACGGATGGCGGGCGGGCAGCCGGCAAAAGGGGGCGTGGCCCTCACAATAGCCGGGTCCATTGTCATAAATTAAAAATGAGGAAGTGTATGAAAATAAACAAAAAGCCAAACGGCCCAGCCAGCTAGCCGCAGCGGAAATACAAAAAGCGTTGATAAATAAATTTCTAACAAAACAAACAGCTTCCAGGGAGAAGGCCACATAAAACCCAAAGTCAACCCAAGGACCTTAAGGAAAGATATGGTTACCCAGGTCAAGATCTAAAACTCGAGGCAGAGATCTTTAACGGAAATATATTTAAGAGACTTAAATCTTAAATAAATTGTTATGAATTATTTTCAGTTGCAATTTAACTGAAGAAATGAAATCAATTTAATTCATCGTGGGTTTGATCTCATACTTACCCGATAAGTTTTAAGCTTTTAGTTTGGTACGATACCGACATTCAACGCGTGCCACAAATTTCACAGGACGCATTTTATGTGTCGCAGCACTTTCTGCTCCCCCCGATTCCCGGACTATTCCTTTCATGCCACTGCAACAGCAGCTCCATTGGCCAAGAGACTCTGGGCGCAGTGGCCAGCAGCAATGTCCAAAGCCGCTGCGGCTTTGATGGAATTTGCGAAAATACTGCACGAGAAAGTCCAGCCACAACAAATAAGCCAAGAACATGAGTTTAAAGTGGACGTTGGGATACTCTTAATAAAATGTAAAAAAAAATATATTATAATATTTTCGAAAAAAAATAGTTCAAAATTGAAGGTGACAAAATATTATGTCCAAAGTTTGATAAAGTTTATTGGCTTAATGGGCAATTTCGAAATAATATCAGCTAAATTACCAGTAAAATTTAAATTCGTAGTAAATTACATTTTCCAAAGGCGGTAATAAAAATATTAACGATGCTAACAAATAAACCCGTGATTTAAATCTTTTATTAGAAGGTGAAAAATACCTGACCGATTCAAATATTTAAACCTCAAGCTATTTTTAACAGAAACACTTTATTTACTTTTACTTATTTCAACTCTCGCAAAATTAATAGCTTTAATATAAGCCCTGATAAGGCAACTTGCTTTAATGAAAACTGCTATGGGACTCTTTCCCGCACATCCCTAAACCATTTCGACGACAGTTTCCGTTCTGGCTCTAAGCCCCGGACCGTTGACCATATCCCAAACGCTCTATTCCATATTATATATACTATATTTTTGTTTCTATTTTTATGGGGCTTATTTGGCTCGCACAACACGTTCATTTTTAGGTTTTTTGGCCCGGGTGCAGATTCTCGTGGGGCTTTATTTTGGCTTTCGGCATTTGTTTAAATTAAAGATTATGCACAAGTGAAAAAGTAGCCATGCGAGCGAAAGGAAGGGCAACCAATTTTAAATTTAAATATGCAAAAAAGCACGACCTTGGACCACGTGGCGTATGATGGATTTGGGACCGCATGACGTCAATGGCAGAAAAATCCGATGCTCGCCGCCTTTGACTTTGCCCTTTTGTGTGTAAACAAGCAAATATCTTTAAATTGCTGGCAAGTAACAAAAGTACAACGGGCACAATAACTGTAATCGTAATAAGCCATTTAGCACTCCATCTTTCCTCCAGCAGAGCCTTTGCATACATTTATAATTCATATTCATATTGTTAATTCTCTGGGACCCCTTGAATGCCCCCCTCGCAAGCCCTTTTATCCGTCGCCGAGGGCAGCTGCCATAAAAGCATCATAAACATTTTACAGCAGTTGCAGTTGCTGCAGGAAACTGCCCCAGCAAGCGGAAACGGTGCCGCTCCTCTGTGCCACCCTCATAATTGCAGCCAGCCATTTCACATTTTGGCCTAGTCCCGGAAAAAGGGGGCTGGGGAGAGGGGCAAAAGGGGAGGGGGTGTCGGGAATTAGGATGGCTTTATCAGAGGGTGGCGGACTGTATTAGAGTATGTGTGCGCAAAAGATTTTTAAGCTTTTAAGCTGGATGTTTCCCCTTTGCTCCTAAGCAGCTCTATACGCCAAATGTTTTAACTTTAGTATATAACCAACATAATATTAAAAAAAAATATTAATCATCATGTCTCCAGTCACTTTGAAATTTTAGTTCGTTATCCATATATTTGGTAATTAACATATATAAATCATTACAACTGAATAATTATTTTACACCACAATGGAACCCGTTTATCTCTTTCGGTTACTAATTATTAAATAAGTTCACTACACTTCCACTTCCTTTTGTTGTTTTGAACACCTTGTGATTGGGTCAATTCCCCTGCTCCCATAACTTACATAACTGCCCTCGCGGCTCGCATTGTTCAACTGCTTGTTAGCCTCAGGTGTAAATTACAAATCTGAACGACGCATAATGAATGAAGGCGCACGGCCCGTGGAGCGGCAAAAAGAGGCGACTAAATGAAATGAAATCGCAGTGAAAACGCTTTCATTAAACATGCCAGTGAATGGAAGGTGCAAAAGTTTTCCTCCCCCTTCCCTTCCCTCCCCCGCCAAAAGGGGCGTGGCAGACAAAGGAGGCTGAAAACGGTGGGGCTGCGGGAAAAGCGCGACAAACTGCGGCCAAGTTGATTAGAAAGCCGAGCGGAAAGTCTCGCCTGGGACTGGCAGGCAGCCTAATGAAAAACTTGGAAATTTACGGTCAACGAGTTGTCAAAGCGGCACCAGTAAAGCTGCGCAAGTAGGGAAATCTGGGAAAATCGGTGAAAATCTAGGGGGTAGAAAAGGGAAACACTGCCCATAGTTTCGGAAACGCCAAGTCAAACAATTAAGCCCAGCCATGTTCGAATGGAGAGGCCGACAGGCGGTTTAAATAAATAATTGCCGTCGAAATTAAGCAATGGGCAAGCTGTGACGGCACAAGGGGACCTGCTGATGGCCACTGGGCACAGAAATCCACTGGGAAAAATTCAACAACCTTTACATAAATCTATATTTGAATACAAGAAAATTTAACCCTCATTGATTAGTTTTTAAAAATATTATAATATTTTTATTATTATTATCATGATTAGTTTCATTTTATGTTGTAAGTTCCTTTATCAAATAACACCCTTTTTTAAACAAAATTAAGTATTTAGGAGCAACTATTAATAACAGCATTTTGTAGAACACTAGATACTTTGTTTTAAGAGAACCTTTGTAAGCAGTGCGAGTGCTGTAATCTCGTGGGCCCAGGACAGTTGAGCAAACGAGCCAAAGTACGACGATGGCGGCACGAAAGGACACAACCGGACAGGACGACAAGGTAATGCACGGACACGGAAACGCGGAGACTGGGACATGGCCGATAGCAGGAGTAATGACAGGAAGTCCCGATAAAGGAGACAAAGAAAACGCATGCATTAACACCGATAACAGGCCAAGGCAAAAAGCCGACAACGAGGGGCATAAAAGAGGGTATGGGGAGTTTTGGGGGGTTTGGTGGGTTGGAGGGTGTACCGAAGGGAACAGCACAGCACAAAGTTCATTAGCGCTGATCAAGAGGCTACGGATGCCCATTGGAAAATTCCGGAAGCCAGCGAAATGTCAGCTGGACCATCGCCAAAAACGGAGCCCCGCGTGGCCCATAAAATGCTATGTAAATTTACCACTCATTAATAATGCCAACCCCCTCCCGGCACCAGGAAATGGTTTGTGGCCGATTCGGCCAAATAGCAACTATTAAATTGCAATCAAATATTGCCGAAATTTTAATAGTAGCCACAAAAACCTTTTAGTCCCAAAAACCCCAAAATACGAATGGCAAAAGTTAATGCTAATGTGGCATATGCAAAAATATATAAGCACAACAGCTTTAGAGAGGAGAGAATATATAAGATAAAGTTGAATACTCTCGTTTGTATCTATTTCTATTTTAATTGGTTTATAAGTTAATATGTGACTTTTCAAATCCTAAAGGTTATTAATGGAACATTTAATTTGTATTTTTAAAAAAGGCATTAAACTTATTCTGGGGATTAATTTGCCTTCTCGTGAACCTTTTTAATTTTACATATTTAATTTTGATTTTGCACACATAAACCTTGGGTCAAAGGCTAATTGCCAGACCCTCACCGCAGTTTTCGTGACATTACCGCCGGTCACGTGCTCCTCGCTAGTTCGCACACACAGAGAAAAGGGTGGTGGGATTGGTGGATGGCATTTTGGCGACCCAATCTTGATGCTATCATCAATTGTCAAATAAGCAACTGTGTGAGAGTTGCGCACCAGCTGTTGCCAGAAGCGTTGAAGCATTCATGGCACTGCAAATCAACGAATACGGGGTATGCACACACATGTTACGAAGCTACACAGGAAAAAAGTAGAATACAATATTATAAACATAAATACTTAACGTTATTAAATACAGATTCAAGCCTTATTAATTGCATATTACTTTACCTTTAACTAAACTGTTTTAATTTACAATTTATCTTTTGAATATAACCTGTGATCTTCTGTTCTGAGTGTATTGACACATATGGGCTCTCCCCTGAACAACTCACTTTGTGGGTTATTTGTTTTGGTCATACGCTCATTTCGCTTTACTGGAAAAATCGAATGTAGGACCCCAAAAAGCTGGGGAAAACAAAAACCAAAAAAAGGGAAACTACGGAGAAAAGAGCAAAAAAGGGAAAGGCAAAAAGGTCCGACTAAACGATTCAAGGATTCAAGCTCAAAAATCAAGAGCAGCAGCAGCAGAGTAAACAAACGAAAAGGGGAACCGCAAATGTACAACGGACAACAAGCTACCAAAACCGAATCATGGCCAAAGGTTCTCTCGTATCCCCCGCCAGACAGCAGAAATCCCAAACTACTGGTGCTGTTTGTGCTGCCAGAAAAAAAAAAAAAACAGAAAACCCAACCAAAACCCAACCCAATCTCAAACGACGAGCAACGAGCTGAGCAATCGTAAATCTTCTTATGTGCAGCAGCATTTTAACGATAATTTGCTTTATTGAAGCCGTTTAGATTTGGCCAGCAAAGCGGTCCGCACCGAACCGGACCACAAGTCAAACGACAACTAGAGCGTACCCATGTGTCCAGACTGGGGCCAATCCTTACTCCTCCTCATCCTTCGATATACTGAGAGAAATCTGTTGTTTAAACAAGGAATTAATAGTAAAACCTTGAGAAAAATTTAGCATCAGCTTTTATTCATTAAACTAAATTTAATTATTTAATTATATTCTAGACAAGGTATAAAATACTTTACTTCAATCTAGTTAAACTCTTCAAATATTTTAATTATATCAACTTTCAATATCGTTTTCAACAGTGTCCTTTTTGGCATCGGTTCCCCTTTGAATGTTTGAAACGTTTCCGTTTAAATGGTTTTTATAGCAAATTTATGTAGAGGAAAACACTTTTAAGGTTGACCAAAAGGACATACGCAGAAATCCATAAAAATAGCTCGCCAAACACATGCGACCCGAGCCAAATCGAATCGAATTGGAGCCTCATCCCCCGGATTTCCAGAGGTGTGAACAAAGATTTGCCACTTTTGCTGCCCGTTTGACCGGGTTCTTGGTAGTAACGGTTAGCCGGTCTCCGGTCTCCGGTTTCTGGACCAATATGTGCCATGAATAATGGCCGGGCAAATTGCTCAGCAGCTTTCCAGCTAACTGAATTGCAGCAAATTGCCCAGTTGGCTACTGCAGCCAGACATCCTGTTAATGTTTTGTCGAGACCCCTCGATGTTGTAAAAATGTTACCACATCATTGGAAGTAATTACTGTGTCATTTGGCAATTGACTTTGGATTGCTATATGGCCTTTCGATGATTTGTCAACCTGACAGTTTAAGTAATTACATCTTAACCTTTTTAAGTGTGTGTTTTAACTGTCAGGTTAACTTAAAGATTACCAAAACTGTCAGGATCTAGAAATTAATCTTAAATTACCTTTTCTGTATGTACTTAAATAAATATCAAAGCATTTTATGGAAGTTTCCGTGTGATAACTCAATTCGTCAGCATTCGACCACATTTAATTTAAATATTTCATTAATTTATATAACAAGGCAGAAGGCAATAAACTCGCTTTATGCCACAAATATAAATACATGAAGTAATTGTGAAAAATAACAACGATGCACAAGCAACATAAATTCATGACAACAACAAGGATTACGTACTCCTTTACCCAACTGCCCATTTCGAAACGACCATTACTTGAATTAATAAATATATTACAGTTAAGACAATAAGAAACTGCCAAGTGCATATAAGTCACATAACGCATACGCACTGTGCCCCACATATTCAGCTTCAGAGTAAACTTATTGAACATTTGAGAGCATTTAAATTTAAAACACCAAAAATCTTAATTGAAAGCTTTGAAAAAACCTTATTGTAACTTTTATTTTATAAATAGTACGTAATCCATAATTTTATCAACATTCCTTTACAGGTTTTACATAAAAATTTTTTCTGTCCATTCTTAATAAAGAAGTTCCCTTATTTACATATTACCTTTGAATTTAACTTCGTGTATTTCTTAGTAGGAAATTTTCAATTTTTGATAATGGTGCTTTTTTGTAGTAAAAAATATATTAAATTGTGCATTAGCTTAAAGAATTACTGCCTTAAGTGGAACTCTGAAAGCCGTCCTTGACTTTACGCGCCACTTTTCCATATTGCCGAGGGGTTGCATTCGTTGTAGTTTCACTGCTTATGTTTCTATCCCGGCTTTCGTCAGACATCACTTAGAAAAAATTTTGGTTAGAGACAATTATATGCTAGTAAATATTAAATACTTTCTATAATAAAGAAAAAAAATGTTGTATGTAAAATGTATTTACTTTACAAATTATTGATAAATAAATATTTAAAACTCTTTATACCAAATTATGTAATAGAGCTTTTTTGTCTTCAAATAACTACCTTAAATATTTGTTGACAGTTCCGTTAAAACCTTTTCTCCGAGTGTACCTTCTTGCTGTTGTGCGCTGAGGGGCGTGCCTGGCATGTGACATTCGCCGGCATAAATGTCAACAACTGTTTGTTATTGTTGTTGGCCTGCTGGCGTTTGTGTGCTTGTGTTGTTGGCGTTGCATGGCTGTTGCTTCTGCCCTGCTGCTGTTGTTGTTGTTGTTGTTGTTTCTGTTGCTGTTATTCTTGCTTTTGTTTTTGCTGCTGTGGCAAGTGTGACTGCGGCTTTGGCTGTCAACAATGGCTGATGCCAACAATGTGACCGTCATGCCGTGGGCACTTCCTAGCGCCAAGACTTTACCACTGAGAGCCACTCAAACTTCGCCAACACTCCCACACACGCCACGTTGCGTATACGCCGCGTGGTAATTGTAATTATTCTCGCTATTCAGCCAGATTTGTTAAGCCATTAGGCAACAGGTCGGCATCCATATTAATGCCACCGCGCAGCTGAGCACATCGTATATGGAGCTATCGGTGTGGTCGAGTGGGGAATTCCGGAATAATTAAATTCATTTATGCGAGACCCCAAGCGTTGAGCCAACTTTGGCCATAAAAACCCGAAAATAACCATAATAATGATAATGATATCAATAACAACAAGGATTACTTGCCAATAGTTCGGAGTGCTTCATAAAAACCAGCTGTTATTATTTTTCCCATTTTCTCATCAATGTATAGATAAACACAGTACAAAAAAAAAGTGTGGATAAATCGAGGAAGAGGAAAAGTGATGGGAAGAATGGAAAAATTCTTTTTGTCTGCGGCACCATAAACTGAGCATCGGCTAAACGTTAATGACCTTATAAAACTTTTAACCCTCTGCTAAAAGAGACATCTATTAGAAAATGATTCATAAACAATTAGCTTATCAGGCTATTAAAATTGGACTATCATGGTTTATAACTGCATGGGTATCCGATGTATTTAATGCAGTTTTAATCCTTTTATGTCAACACAACAGTATTAAATGGAATTTTATTATCTATATTTAAGCACCCTTATTAGATACTTTCATTTATATATATGTATACTTGAAAAGATTTTCCTTTTTTACATTTAGACGGTGTCTCGATTTGTATTGTCACACATCTTTGTCAATTTAAATTCGATTCCAAAGTGGTAAACCTCCAAACGTTTGTAATACAATTCCTAAGAGATCTGAATTTCAATTTTTCATTTTGGCGATGGTCGAATTTTTTTACCCTGTTCATGCCAGATTTTTACAACAAAATTTAAATCAATAAGAACGCTCTACTCGCCTTCAGCTTTAAGGCATCCATCGATTAAATGCGAATCGCTTGCAACCGAATAATACCCACCACTTCTCCTTTGTTAAATCATTGTTACACGGCTCCGCTTAAAGTTGATCCTTTCCATTTATCAATGGCAGCTCCTTGAGCCACTCTTGCTGAGAAATATGATTTATGTGTCCCGCAGCGCTTGACTACTCAGTACGCCTGCCCCGGTTTTCCCCAATTTTCCCACAATTTTCCCGCCCAACCCCGAGGCCGTTTGAACTGTCGAAAGTTGTAAGTGTTGCCAAAGCAGCTTGCCGCTGTTGCTACTAAACGAAATCGAAATCGAATGCCATCGTAATGGCCTTTGGGCAGACAACGGGCATAATTTTACACGCAGACTTTCAGACGGAAGGACGAACGGACTTTAAGGCCAACGGCTCGTTTGTCTGGCTCAACTTCTTATTCTAAACGGAAAGAAAAATCAACAAGAAAAGGTTGACTTAAATAAAGATGCTAACAAAAAGGAAAATTGTTGTACAAATCAAATGGTTAAACGAATTAAATTGCCAAGATGTTAGGAATATGATTTGTATAATAGAGTTTATATACATTTTTTTAACAGTGTACTCTCTTATTAGCAGGCAAAATGAAAATTTGAAATTATAATGCCATCCGGCCGGTCGGCAAACTTCTTTTGACCAGCCAGCCGTCTGATGTGTTGGCGCCGACCCATAAATATAAATTTGATTTTTTATATCGCAATTTGATATGTGCGTAGCTCCAACACTTTGGCAAACTTTTCACATCTCATCTCATTTCATCTCCGGAATCGGTATCCTGTTACAGCTGTCGGAAACTAACTGAAAAACACACACAAAAGTGAAATACAAGGGAATACTTAAGGAAAAAGCTTTAAATGCCGCTCAAGTTTCATTTGCATCATTTCGATTTGCATTAGTGGCCATAAAATATGTCCAAACTTTGGCAGTAAAATCAAATGGTTTAATTTAAAAAGTCATTAATTTTATTTACTTCGGTTTAATGGCAGCACATAAACGGAATGATTGTTTCGTCGCTTCACTGGGATTATCTTAACAAGTAGTTAAATATACTTTAATGCGGCATGTACAAATTGATTTTTAGGTATTGATTTAGAGGTAATTGAAATAGTTGGTTTTAGATAAATATAAGTAAAAAAGTGAAGACTTTAAAGCTCAACTAATTGCTTTAAAAAATACCTAGTTTTTTCTCAGTCAACAAAAAAATGTATAGGGACTACAAGGCAATAATTAAAATATATTTCTAAGGGCGGCACGTGTATTTAGCTTTTGGCCTTGTTAAAGTTTTTTGGCCTTGGGCTCGGTGAATTGTTATTTGCAGACGCACTCAAATTGTGCTTGCCAATAGCGGTGAATTTTGGTTATTTGCCAAAGCGACGACTGACGTTGACAGTGATTTGCGTTTGGCAAAAACTTTTCCACCATTTTCGCCGCAAGTCGGAAAAATGTCAGAAAAATAGTCGGCCCATCCATATGCGTGTTAAGCACATTTCGGAGGCTTCCGTTTAGATGAAAGTGCAGAGGGAGCTACTCGAAAAGTGGGAGAAAAGTTCAAACTTTTTCATTACGCAATTCTGGCTCTTCGTTTGGCGAACGTACGCACCTCGATGCTCCCGCCATTCTGAAGGACTTTTTATCAAAATCACACCCATATATTCAGCTTTGCCTAAAAACTTTTCTAATTCCATTAACGTTACGCACATGCTTAGCTTTCCCTGCCTCTCTTTTCTGCTCCCAATCCTCGCTGGCTATTGTGGCCATGAAGTTTTTGCGCCCACGTGCATTTCGCCATGGTCAAAGCAAGGCACCACTGAAAAAAGAGCAAATTATAACTAAAATTTTATTAAAAACATTGGTTGTACTTTATATGCTTTTAATTTTTTTCGGATTAATCATGCAATCAAATTGTTGTAACTATTCTTTTACCGGCAAACATTTATTTGCATTGTACATTGTACTGCTTAACAAAAACTGATATCAAATATTTAAATGGCTGCTAAGTGAAGTTTATTAAAATATATTTATTTGATTTATTTTGATATATTTATAATTTTTCTTAAGATCTTGTTTTATACGAAGCTGCTTTTATTAAAAGAATTTTATTATTTATTTTTTTAAAGTAATGCTATTCTAAAGGTTTCTAAATGTAAGAAATTTAAGTTTCTCTCAGCGCAGAGCATAGAAAACATAGGCCGAATTTTCCATGACTTAACACATTTTGGCAACACGTTTTTGCCTGGTTTTCGCTTTAAAGTGGGCAAGCCAGTCAACGCCTATAATGAGCCATAGTTGCAAACAGATTTTCTCGGCCGGTCGAAAGTCATTTTCAGCCCAAGGGAAAAGATTCGGCTTTGCGGTGCGCTTTAAATCTGTTGGAAAGTTCAAACATTTTTTCTGCGTCCCATTTCGCTGCTTGATTACCATGGCGAAGAGCCGGATTTTGGGGCTCAGCTATAATTTGACTTAATTTTTGTTAATAATTATTTTCACATTTTCGGCATTGCTTGTGGTTGATGGCAGCAGCCAGCGTTGCCAAGGCGAGGGATCAGAGTTAATTAGTTTGTAATTATTATAAATTGAGGATGAATGCTTGTGGCAAGTTTAATTGGATATTTGATGTTTTTAAATTACGCAAAAATGAGCGTGAAATATTAGCGCCAGCCATCTCGCTATCTTCCTATGTAAGTAAGCTAGTCCTGACCAGGGGGTAAATTAATTTTTAATGCCTTGGCTTTGTCACTCGGCTCCATATTTATGTTCTGAGCCACAGCAGCTGCCTTCTGCCCGAGCTGCATGCTTTTTGTGTCATCGACCGCGCTTGTGTCACACGTGCCACGCCCCCACCTAGTACAGTGAAAGTTCGTGGGAGTGTACAGAATAAATTAAAGAAAATTTGCATTCATATGAAAGTTAATGTAATCAGTTAAATTTACCACGTATTTGTGTTTTGATAGTAAGGTAGTTTGAAGAAGTTTACTTAATACCCAATTTAATTTAATAGGGGGCTTACAACATGTTTTATGGGTATTTGGTTGATAAGCAGATGTAAAATATTTTTTATTATATTTCCTACATCACATAAAATTGTTCTCTCCTCTTTATATTAAATAAGTTTTAACCCTTTGATGTTTCACTGTAAATTCAAGTAGTAGGATGCTGCTTCGTGTTCGGTTTGTAGAAAGGACGCCGGACAATTAATCATAATCTCGTGTAGTTGCACAGCCAAGTGCCTGGGCCACGTTCGCAGCAGTTTTTCATAGTAGCGAACAATAAATTTTAGAGCCGCCGGCCGCGTCTTGAGCAGTCATAACTTTGAATCAAGAAAGCCACGTAGCCTGGTAAAGCAATCTCCTCCCCCATCAACTCCCAGCTGAGGGTGAAAATATGTTTAAATTTTACTTTAGTTTGCCCCAATCCTGTTATTGTATTATCATTTTCCCTATGTGCCACCGAGCCACGTACATTTGTAATAATTTAGCATGAAATATGCTCCGGAGGGTGTGGCACAATGATAAAGTCGTTCGCTTTATTTATTCCCAATTGCTAATTCAATAAGGTGGCAATTGGGAGTGACTGCATTCGTGCTTAACTATTTGCTGCAATGAATAACAAACTATTGCTAGGTGTTCGTTTCGAAATCATTGAAACTGAACTTCTGAACTTGGGAAACATTTCTGTTGGATTGTGCTTTGAATCAGAATTTATTTGAAAATAATTGAATCGAATTGATTAGAAAACGTTAAACATTATAACCTTCCCTATATGCGTTTCAACTTATATTTAAATGCGCCATTTCAGATTTGATAAACATTTCAGGAATTTCTATATTTATGAGGTTTGTTTCCCTAGTAAACTGTCACATTAAAAATTCTTCAATTTCTTGTCCTGCACTTTTGTTTTAGTATTTTTTGAAAAGCGGTTTTTGTCCTTCTGGACCGAGAGTACGTGTGGTGACCACACTAAGCCCCATAAATACGCATCTATATGCAAAAGTACA